GAGATAATGAGGTATAGTGAGCTAGCAGGTAGGATTCTTGTCTGGATGGCCGATATTTTGTGTCTCCCTGAACATCAGAGCACAGGCTCATTGCTGCCTCTTGCTCACAAAAGTAACACCTGATAAGGAACATTCAAGGGCAGAGTGAACGGTCCTTGTGCCATCTCAACATCAGGAAAGGAAAACTCCCTACTTTCCTGAAAGCGGACTGTCATGGTCAGAGCAATGCTGACTAAAGCTCTATTGTACTATTGTAAGCAACTAGACTTTAATGTCAAGTGAAGCAAGCAGTTTAAAGAAACCCAGGCCTGCCTTTTTGGGGTTCAGACCTGTTACTTTGCCTGACGGCTGGAAATACGTGAAAGTAACTTGAACCTGAAACAGACTGATTTGCCCAACCTTAGTCTTAGCCCTTGGCTTTCCTGCAAAAGGAAGCTCACTCCATCATCACCAGCTGCAAACACCTTGGATCTTGTTCTTCTTGCTATGGAGAACTGATCTGCGATGTAAATATTACATGATTGCTTACAGAGGATCATAAGCAATCAAAAGGAAAGGAAATAAAATGATGATAGATTCTTCCCCCAGGAACTTATGATCAAAAATTTAATGCTGGGTCCCATGCCAAACGGTAGGGCAGGGGGCCCTGGATACTTGGAACTCACCCAGGGTGAAAAACTGCACTGATTCCTCCTATGGAATGGAAATTAGGAGGAAATATAGGAGGATTTCATTTCTGACTGCAAATTAGGCAAATGCCGCGTTGGCAACTCCACACAGGGATGTGAGCAGGAGAATGTGGCTAGACAAACATCCAGCTGATGTTTGGCAAAACTAAGGAACGCTGCTTGTTTGCTAATTCCTAACAGAAATCCTATCTGTCCGTACAGAGTGATAGGAAAGCATTCTGTGCAGCAGGAGTGGGGAAATACTCCGCACATGTACAGAAGCACACATTGTTACGGCTGCTTCTGACATCGCAGAGCCAAGCCTTGGGAACTCAGGTTCAAATTAAACCCTAGATATGACCACTGCGATTTAAGGAGCAGAGATGCTGGCCATATTTAGTCAACTGCCATTCTTTACAAATCTGCTTACCTTTAACACCCCTTAAATATTTACTTTGAGCTTTCCAGCTGGAGCTGCCAGCACCTTCTCTGCCTCATCCTGCAAGGTGCCGTGTCCTCCAGGCCTCTGCCACTACACCACCCATGTCCTGCAGCTGGATAATGTTCAGGTAGTCCAGTTTGAAGTTAAGTGGCACCTGCTGTCTCTAATTGTTCTGCTGCAATCTTTTCTCCAGGGACAAGCCCCATGTGTTGGCCGTGAAACTGCTGAAATAACAGCTTTTGCACACATTTTTCTAGGCCTTGGGCACAATCACAGTATTTTCAGCAACCTACTTAAAGAGTTTCTGCTTTGCAGAGTGAAAAGCCAACTTGACCCTCCCAGCTCACATGGGAGAGTCACTTGAGAGCAGGAGCAGAGCAACAGAAACACAGGGACTTAATTACATAATCATAATTCAGACAGTCTACCTGCCTTTCCCCCAGGTGTGTTATCCTGGGATCTGAACGTTGTAGATACAGACCAGGAATTCCTAAGTGTTTATTTGCAGGATGACTTGGGTCTTTCACAGGTCAGTATGTTTACCTGTGGAACTCATTGGTGTTTCCAACTCTGGTATCCCTTTTATGATCATGTCCCTTGAATGAAAGCCAGGTAAGTCAGGAAATAAGACTGGGAAAGAAATCTGTTCCATTTGCAATGTAATGCTGACTTACCTGGATACACACTTTTGAACCAACATGAAAAGCAGAATTCAATGATCTTTCAACATTTGAATTTCTCCTGATTTTACATTGGTATTCTCCAGCTGAGAAATACTTTCAAGATGCATATAACAGTTTCTAATAATTGGGCGAATGTGTACAGACAAATGCATGTATTAATGAAAATTACATTCAACATGCATTATATTAAGAAAATTTCTCACAACAAGGTGTATGTTAGGCAAAGTTGCACACAGATGTGCATGTACTAAGAGAAATATGTACAAAATGTGTATAGATTTTCATCTGAATTTTTAAAAACCCTCAAAAATCAAAATCAACAAACTTAAGAATGGAAAAATGAGAAAATGTGAGAAATTGAACTTGACAGTTTCATTGTCTCCTGGAAAGAAGTTCTAAGATTCTAGTCAGCTTTCCTGGAGCTGAGCTCAGCATCTGATTTGGAATGGGGAGGGAGGGAGGGAATGTCTGTAGCACCAACCTTCATGCAAAATCCCTCTGCTTGGAGTTGCTGCAGGCAATTTGTGGCCTTCCAAATGTTTCAGCCTCCAATTCCCATGATCTCTTTCCCTTGGCTTAGGGATGATGGGAGTAGCAGTCTGGAGCGCTGCAAGTTGTCCACCTCCTAAAGGCCTTACTATTCTTTTCTGGCATTACTTTAACTGCTTAGACCACAGGCAGAAGTGCTGTCTAGCAGGGACAGCTACAAAAGAGGGAAACCTTAGTCAAGTGTCACCTGATCTTCCCCTTTGACTCCCCTGCTCATGGGCTTACCTGGAAAGCCAGCTGCAATTTCAATTTTCCCCAAATTCCCTGATTCCAGGGCAAGATTGTATCAGGTGCCCTTTGACAATGTAGGAAAATCAAAATCCTGGCTGGAGCCAAGAGACCAGGGTGGATCCTGCTAGGGTGCCTGGTGCCCAGCCCTTGCCCAAGAACGTCTGCAACTGCTGTATAGAAATGCCATTTATACTTAAGCGCCACAGAATCCTTAGCCTTTTTCTTTGCTACGACAGATTCATGCTAGCTGTTTTTCTGGCACTGGACTTAAAACTGGAGAAAATGCCTTCCTTGGGGTCCCATCCAAATCCAGGAGAAACCAAATGGATTATGCAAGCCAGGTAATATCAGAGTCAAAGCACTGCAGACAAGCTTGCTGGAATCCAAAAATACAAAATAAGATGTTTGGTTGCATTTCCAGACTTGCTTCAGGCCAAAACATATGGATGTTAATTTTTATACGAGGGCAACTTACCACTGCATAAAAAAGAAATGCATTTAGTATTTGCAGTAAGCTGTTCTCTTAGGATTTTTAATCCTTTTTTGGCTGAACACCATCTTTTCAAAAGTTTCATAGGATTACATGACATCACCTGTACCATCTTGTGAGATTACTTTTTAATGCTACTTCCCTCTGTGTGTGTGTGTGTGTGTTTAATGCCAACTCTGACGTCCTAAATTATTCCTGCTCCAGATTTCAGGATCCAGTGTACTGGAACTAGTCTAATAATCAGAACATGAGCAAAAACATAGATGTACATGTAAGAGATGCCACTGGGCATCCACGATAAACCTCAACTTTGTGATACAGATATGCAAACAATCTGTAATAATCCTCCTTGTAGAATAGCTATGCTTTTGGAATGAATTGGATCCACAAGTCAGTAGGATGCAGAGTAAAATAGCTGGATGTCTCCAGATCAAAGCAAAGCCAATGCCATCTAACTGCCTTACTGGAGGCTGAGGTACCACCAGGATAAGTTGTATTTTGGTGGCTCTGGTCACCACCCCCCGCCTCCCTCTGCAGCACCTGCTAAATCCCTTCTCTAAGGTTCCCCATACAACCTCAGAGTAGCAGCCGATGCGGTTCTTTCTGTATCAGCTGCAAGGGGGCAGCATGAGGAGGGTACGATTTGCCAGTGTTGGGAGTTGGGGATTTGAGCGATCTGATGACTTTCTTGAGACGCTGCCTAAGGGCCACAGGATTGCTCTTTATGGCTGTATCCACTTTTGCGGTCCAATAATATAAAAGCACATGCACATCGACTTACAGACTTATGAAACATCATACAAACAGTAGTTTCCAACTCAAACAAAGCTTCTGCAGGGCATGCCCCACTGTACACCACAAATGAGGCATTTCTCCATTACACCAAGAACTTCTTGCCAAGCCTCTGTGGTATCCATTATATGCAAAACATCAAGTTTTGTTGAATCAGCCTTAGTTTTAAATCTACAATAATAGTAGAAATCTACAGACTCTACAGAAATATGGAACTTAAGTCAACCTTCCATGGATTAGACTGCATGGAACAGTCCAATTTCTCATTCCATTCATTTTTGACCTTCTAAACATTCTCTTTATTACTTTCCAAAATGATTTTAGAAGCTGCTACTGCAGGCTCAGCTTTCTATAAGGAACCAATTGATTCCTTGTAGGAAGTCCAGAAGTATTCACACTTGAATGTTGGAGTACATCAACTCCAACACATCCTGAAGTTGAATGTATTGCCAACTATCACTAGACGGTAAATGATTTCTGCAGTACCGATTTTCTGCAGTACCGAAAATAGTAAAAATTCATCATCCAAACCTATTAACTGAAATATGAGTTCCATTATCAACTCCTTCACATAAAAGGCTGTCTCTCCATTTTCAAAACTGGATTCTCCCGTAAAGTTAATTTAGCATGAGATTATGGATCAAACTAAGGCTGATGAGCCATTGCATTCCAAATCTCTTTCTTGGAGAAGACTGTTAGCACAGCCAATCCTTTCTTTTTAATACGCCTGGATCCCAATGCCATCCAACCAAAAAATAATTTGGATACCAAATAATTTGACTATAAAACACATGGGGTAATATTAAAGGAGAAAAATCTTTTTTCATTTATTGCTGCAGGTCAACAAATCAGCTTTATGATGTAAACTAAGAACAGAAAAATTAAATCTTCCCTCTTTAACTGCACCTCCTTCAATGAAAAATGGAGAGGATGCCCACAAATAAATTTCCAAAATGCTGCATTAAGTTTTTGAAAATAAGTTTGAGTTAAATATGAAGAAATACTGAGTCACACATAAACTACCTGTGACAAGTCAGTCATCTTAAGTACGTTAAATTAAGTGATGTTGCAAGTCCAGAGATATTTCTACTAGCAATATGATTATATGCAGTTTAACCATTTGTGAAATATTTCTAAGCACCAATATGCCAAGGTACGTTGTCACTTCTGAGCATCAATGACACTGCTTTGCAAAGTACCGACACATGCACACTGCGGTCCTCCACACAAGGGGGACCTGCCCAGCTCAGTCAGGATTCCCTCTGACCTTCTGAAAGATCTCTACATGCGTACATTGGTATGTGTGCCAAGTACAAGGACATGGGTTGGGGGACATGGCAGGGCTTGACTGCAGGCCTGGAATCAAGGACAGGCATGCTCAGCACCTCTTAAGGGCCCATGCTGTAGCAGCGGGTGAAGAACGACAGTATCCCCCTGGACTTCCTCCTCTTTACTGGGCAACCTGGCCCTGATGGCAGAATTTGGAGGAAGAGAGGATGCGACTTTATTCATTGGTTCCCTGCCTGTCCAACAAGCAAGTGGAAGCCATGAGAAAGTTGAGGATGACAAGCAATAGCAGGACATTGGTGGTGGTGAGGAAGCCCACTCAGGGCCCTAGAAATCTGGAATTGGCACTGCTTGCCTGCATCGCCCTGCAACCGTCCTCCTGCGTTCCTTGAATGAAAGAAGATGGCCTGTCTGAACCCACGCTACTCTCACGCTGTATCATGGGGTTGAAGTCTTCAGGGCACCTAAACATCTGTTCTCCTACATTAATGCGAAGCTTGACCTATAAGCATATTAACTGCAATTATGACAAATTCTGGAATGCTCTCCAGAACCCTTGTCTACAGATCCAGAAAGTGTAGAATCAGCATTTGACCTAAATTCCAGGTTTATAAATCTCCAACGGTGTGGGGCTGTTTGAGCTTCCTGGGAGAAAAATTCTGCCTGAAAGCTTTTATTAGTCGGATGTCTGGGAAGGTACCTTCCCAGTGCAGTAAATCCCGGGTAGTGATGTGAAAAGCCTTGCTACATGATTACTAGACTATGAAGCAATGCTCAATACACCCTCATTGATCAAAGATACCTGTGGGAGGAGGATATACAAAACAGATGGTTAGCTGGAGTTCTGTATACTGCAAAATCTATTGTTTGGGGAGGGGAAAGACAGCCAATTTGCCAAGAGTTTTAGCACAAAAAAGGGGTGGGGATGGGAAGGTAGAGACTTTGGCCATCCGCGTACACTTCTAAATCACTGAGCAACTGAGTGCCAAATGTTTAAAACTGAATGGGTTCTGCTGCAGTTGGGATGATGTGAAGGGACATGAAAATTCCGCCTGTGCAGCTTCTTGTGGGATTACCTATCACAACATGCAAGTCCCTTCCTGATGTAGCCATCAAATGATTGAGCCTTTTGGCTACAGATTTTGTTATGAACCTTCTGGTTCCTCGGAAACCCCTTTGTGGGTGTATGCACACCATTCTGTTCTCTTATAAATATTCTAATATTGCCTTTCATACCATTCTTGTGTGTTGCCAGATACAAGCATGCACCCTTTTTAAAGATGGGACTGATGAGGCTGAGAAAGAAAGATCTCTCCTTGGAAGCCATTCATAACAATGCCACAAGTGGGATCTATGTCTCCCACATGTCACGTTCCAGAGAAGCCCTGATGTTTGGCTGGCACATCATGGATAATTTCCTTACTTGCTCTCAGCATTCCTCTCTTGATGCTGTTACCTCCTCATTTTATTACTGGGAATACTGAGGTCAAAGGCTAGCAATTTTCCAAGGTCGATGCAGTGAATACAGAGCTGACTGGTTTGTGGTGATGAGTTGCCAACTTTTTTTCTGGCAAAACTTTTGCACAGCAGAACAGGCAGAAATTCTACAAGGGAAATTGTTACTGGTATGGAGACAAAGTAATGGGGAAAACTTCTACAGTTAAATTAATTGCAGCCTTTGCAGACTCCACTGAACTCAACTGTGCTTATTTTGGACTGCATACATTCAACTTGTAAAGTACACTGAGTTTAACCAAGATTTTCAGCCAGTTGAAACTCAGCCTTTTGTTTGCGTTCCTGATCAAAAGCTGTCTTTCAGAGGTGCTAAACTGCTTGAGTGAAAGGGAACACTCTTCCATGAAAAAGGACCAAAGTATCCAGCCCCCGCTGAATTATTTTCCTCATCTTAAACTTCCACAATGCTATACGTTAAGTCATAAGCAACAGTTGATCTTGAAAGCCTTGATTACACCAAAGCAGGGGGGGGGGGTGTTCCAGTTACTCAAACATTCCAACAGGTTGCTGTAATGCTCCAGCTCTGAAAACACTGCAGGTGAGCTGTCCTGCTGGGTTTCCACTCCACTATCCCACTAGGAATCATAATTAAGAAAAGGAAGAGCCTTTAGTCTCAGTGAAGTGTTCTTTCTTCACAGAAGAGACAGGAGCACAACTCATCTGCAAGCACATACTTGGCATGAAACTGGCTGCCGGCTCCATTCTTGGCACCACTTATACTTCCCAGGATCTGTGCCCTCAGCCCAAGACCTGGGCAACAGAGCAGCTTACTAGCTAGGCAAGACTGGGTTAGATCCTAGACAGACAGGCTAGCCTAATGGAAGCCCACTTCCTATGTGGATCTTCTTAACTCTAAAGCAAGCTGAGCCACTCCTTTAAGTAAGGAATGTGCTTCCAAGAACACACACTCTTGGTCCAGAAAAACAGAAAGAAACTCTCAAGATGAACACCATATTCAAAACAGGCCAACAAATGGAGCAGAGACAAGTTTATTCCACATATTAAAAAAATCTGGAAGATATCTTTGACGTGCAAAAGACTCCACTCATTTTGGCACACAGATGGCTCTTCATCAGGGGTATTCAGAATGTTCAATCTTCGGAACAGGAAGATAATAATTAAAAACAAAACAGAGTGCCATGCTCCATACTGACTCCTTTGATCGGAATCGGAGCAACTGATCTGCAACATGTTTTCATTTCCAACACGGTATAACTGAAGGTCGGAACACGCGCAAAGCTCCATTTGGTTTTCAGCAGAAATACTAGTTACACAGATGGGACAATGGACGTGCCCGTTAGGATTTGCGACTGCAAACCAACCCACTCTCGAATCGCGGAACCTCTCTCGCTGTCTCAGAACTTTTGGAAAAGACACGGCTTTCCGAGGCTTTTCATACACAGAAGACTCTGTGATTCTACGAGATGTACAGTTCAAAGGCCAAAGGATTTACATGTTCGCATTTGCAGAGTTGATGTTCACCTCACTTCACCGCAAGGCAGTTACAATAAAAAGCGTGCATTTAAGCCGATGCAATTTCACTGATTCCTTCTCCCCCCCCCCGCCCCGCACCTCCCTCCGCTACACACACGCGCGCGCTCTCTCTCGCCCCTCTAGAAGGAGGAGCCGCAGCGCATCTTCGCTCGCCTCTCGAAGGGAGGCTGATCTTTGCGGGCTAAGTACGGCGACGGATCTGCTGCAAGCGCAAGGAGCAGCTCCGTCGGCTGGGGGCGCGGCTCCCGGCCCCCTCCCCCCTTTGGCTCTCCCCCTCCCTCGGCGATCGGCGCAGGACGCTGGAGGGGTGGCCAGGGCAGCGACTGCGGAGCTGAGCGCCGCCTCCTTCCTCTCTCTCACTCTCTCTCTCTCTGCCCCCCCACCCCTTTCATCCTCCTCGCCTGGATCTGCGGAGATGAGCTGCGCTGGGGACCGACGCCCGGCTCGGCAAGGCTGGTGGCAGAGACGGCGGCGGAGCGCCGGGCTTCCCTGAGGATGCTCCCGATGCCGGCGCCCGTCTGAAGTGAGTGGAGCGGCGGCCGCCCCCTCGGCCAGGCGCTCCCGCCCCCCCTCCTCTGGATGCTGCTGCTGCTGCTGCTCCGCGGCTGGCCCCCCTGCGAGGGCTCGGGAGGCGGGGAGCGCGCATGGCGGCGGCGGCGGCGGCGCAGCAGCAGCGGCGGCGGCGGCGGGGCTCGAGGGGACGGCCCAGGCAGCGTCCTCTGCGTCCGAGGCTGCCGGGACTGCGGGCGGTGCGCTGGCGCCGGGCGGCCCCGGCGCGCCGGGCGCTGTGGCTGCTGGCCGTGGGCGCCTCGCTCGGCTTGCTGCTGGCGTGGTCGTCCAACCGGCTTCTGCACTGGCTGGCCTTCCCGTCGCACACGACGGTGCGCACCGAGTGGAGCCGCCAGCTGGCCTTCCCGGCAGTCACGCTGTGCAACAACAACCCGCTGCGCTTCCCGCGCCTCTCCAAGGGCGACCTGTACTACGCCGGCAACTGGCTCGGTCTCCTGCTGCCCAACCGGACGGCGCGGCCACTGCTGGCCGAGCTCCTGCGCGCCGAGCCCGAGCGCCTGCGCTGGTTCACCAAGCTGGCCGACTTCCGGCTCTTCCTGCCGCCGCGCCACTTCGGCGGCATCAGCGAGGAATTCGTCGACCGCCTCGGGCACCGCCTGGACGACATGCTCCTCTCTTGCAAGTTCCGAGGCGAGCAGTGCGGCCCGCACAACTTCTCCGCCGTGAGTAGAGGGAGCGGGTTGGCTCAGCCCGGACGGCGCGGGCAGCCCGCGTCTTTCGAAACTTAGAAGAGGCAGGGCAGGCAGAAACCTCTCGGGTGCAGCTCCCTGCTGGCAGGCATGCGAGGGGACACCGTACCTGTTGAATTTCATGCCGTCCTTGTCTGAACACAGCCTCGGGGGGGCAGGGGCCATACATTGGAAGCCCCTTTTGGAACCCATGTGTTAACGTGCCTGTTGAATTTGTGTATTCATTCCTTAGAGGGGAAGGAATGTATTAGAATTTGTGTATTCATTCCTCGCACAGGGCTGCATCCTTGACAGCTGGAAGAAGCACAAAACCAGCAGGCGAGGGCACAGCGAGGGAGTGGGAATGCTGCACCTGTTGGATTTCTACATATCTTTCAGTTAGAAGAAACTCCAGTTAGGGAAAAAGTTGGGAAGTAGGTATCTGTGTGGTGTGTGTATACTTTAAGTGAGGCAGGGAGAAGGTTTCCACTTTACTAACTGGCAAGATTCCTGTGTTGACTCGAAGCAGATATATTTTTCAGGGAAAGCTTTCTTCATTCAGTACAACTCCCATGTCAGGGAAAGCCGTGCCTTTTGAATTTCTTCCTAATATCATTGCCTTACAAAGGGAGAAAGAAGACTGGGAAAGACCCATCTGGAAATGGTTCGGCTTATACGGAGGGTGGGCAGTGGAGCCCCTGAGGTTTTTCCTTGTGGAGGAGAGGAGATGCAAACACCTGCATCCAGACCTTTTCTGGAACAGGCAGGAAGGAGAGAGACTGTGCAGGTGGGCTGGGCACCGGCTGGCTGCACAGGGAGATCTGTGAAATACGGTTCTGTTCAGAAGTGCATGGCTTTTTAGTTCCTTGGAGTTTTGAGGGGCGGGAGAAACAGGTAGCCTTTATTTCCCCTGAGCTGGGAGGGGGCTTTCAAGTGTGCAAAAAAGAGGCAAGGATCTAATCCCCCTTTCTCTTGAGATGGAGAATGGTTGACCGAAAACATGCTTTATTAAATGGATCATATTAAGGGAAGGCAGCTGTGCAGGTTGGTAATGCGGGAAGGAGGAAAGGAGCAGAGCCAGAGGGGAGAGATGCTGATCATCTCAGGACGGAGCAGCAGCTGGCAAAAATGGCTTCTCTAACAAGATATCAGGGGGGAAATTTGAAACCAATTTCAGGATAGAGCCGATGCTCTATGGGAGCGAATCTGGATACATGCATTCACGTCTGGGTTGTGGTGGCAAGCAGTATAGGAAACGCTGTTGATCTGAGAATAAAATGGCTTGCAATAATGCAAGCGTAGCACTTTCTGTGATGCATATTCTGAGTTGTAGGAACAGGTATCTTTGTATATTTGGAAAATTATATGCTGGGCATGTTGCCCAGCATGTGTCTCCATCCTGATGCGGCTCCCCTCACATCCCCCCCCCCCATTAGTGTAAAACAAATGTTCCTGTCATAAAACAATGAAGGGCACACCAATGCCGACAGATTTTCAAGCTGATAATTCAGCAGACCCCAAGCATCACTCATTAAGTGCATTGTAATAGGGAGCGGAGCAATAAAGAAAGCATGCTTTGTGTCAGTAATCCCTACAAGGTGGTTGTCTCTTCATAGTTCAGATGGCAAGGGCTGAGGCTCAGAGATCATGGTTTGCCTGAAACTATCCAGTGAGCTCAGGGCAGAGGCAACATTTGAACTGGACACTTCCGAATTTACAGTTCCTGTCTTTTATCTCATTGTGCTGCACTGGCTTATGCATCAGCTATAAAGAGACCGTCAAACAGAATTCTAGTTCTTCCATTGGAACTGCAGCTTCGATTTCAGTAAAGTGGAAGCAGAATTGAGGATTCTTATTCAAAGAAGGCTACCTCTGCTTCAGGCTGTGTGAAAAGTCACCCTTTCTCATCATACTTGTGGCCCATCCAAAACTTCCTCCCTAGAAAGCAAAGCCGAGGACAAGTCCGGTTATATCGTGCATTTTACCCATCTGCTATATGGATAAAATCTAGGGACTCTGTGTAGAGGAGTATAATACTGTGAATGAGAGAGGCAGCTGGGAGAGGGAAACTATTGCCCTGCATATCATGTTAGACCCCATCTTTCGTCAGCCCTAGCCGGTATGGCCAGTGATCATAAGGAAGTTATGATCCCGCAATACCTCAAGGGCTGCATGTTTCCATGTATGTATAAAGATGAGAGTCGTTCCTGATTGTAAAGCTCCAGTGTTTAAATCGTACCTCTTGTTGCTTGTTGTGTGAACTCAAACTAAAGGGCTGGAGGCCAGAATAAGCCAAGCAAGGGAAGCTGTAGAATGGGATGCACATCAGGTTGAGACTGTCGTATGGTTTGGGGCAGAGACCAGATGGAGGTTGGAGTCCGGGAACTGCAGCTGAGAGGCCTTTAAAAATGCAAGCAGAGGAAAGTGAAAATGAGTGCAGTTTCTTGACAGGAAAGTGTAGCCAGTGATGACTCCCTGCAAAGGTGAATCTGTGTGCTGAATGCGTTTGCTGCATTCACACATTTCTCCATGTTTATGAGAATGCATCAGACATCTTAGATGTACATCTACAAATTTAATGTGTGACGTTATCTCTCAAATAGATTAACTGGTAGTTGGTCTGTAAAAGCTGGGAACTTGTGAGCATGGTAGCTTCTCCAGGTTACAGCCAGATACCTCCCAGATGAATTAGACTACAACTCCCATAATTCCACCCAAGGTGGAAAAGACAGCAAGAATTCTTTGATTATGCCTGGTTCTATTCCTGGCAGACCTGGCAAGAGGTGCTTTTGTGCTGGCCTCAACCCAGCGCCATATGTTAAATTGCTGTTCTTTCCTCTCCATTTAAGCTGGTACCAACTGATCCATTCCTGGATCCCCCTCAGCCCCACCCAAAGTCCTTGCTTTCCTCTCTCCTATAATTGTGTGAAGAGGCAGCTTTCTAGTTTGACACCCGGGGGAGCATTCTTGAGAGCTGGAGTTGAAAGGGTTGTTTCTGTTAGCTGGGTTAGTTCCATCTTATGGACTAACTACCCATAAAAGCATGCAAATTTTAGTCATGCAGGACAGGACAGTATTAGTGTGACTATTCATATCATAAGCTTCTGAATGTTATGGCCCACCTCTTTCACTGTATCCTCTCCCATGCATTTAGTCCATGCCCTCCTCTGTCTGCACGGGCCAAATGCATAATAAGTCTTCTTCATGGCTGCTCTTGGGCTTTGGAACTTGCTTCTTTGAGCAACCTGACTGCCAGAGGATCAAGACTTCTGGAATGAATGGGAAACGGCTTTTATGTTTTACAGAAGTCTTTAGCCATCAGCTGTGAGCAAGATACTCTTTTGATTTCAGTTTGGGGGCAAGTTTATTTATTGAAAACGTTATCTTTCTTCCATTCATAATACTTTTGTGCTAGAAGTACAAAAACAAACAATCCAATAAAAACACACTTCAAAGATGAAAGGGAAAGATAAAAGGTATGTGTTGATCACTTGATGATTTGCTTGTTTGAATCAGTGATTGTGTCGCTTTGCATCAACCCAGCTGTAATGCTTTTCACTGGAGATGCGGGAGTTGACATATTCAGCTGCCTGGTCATCCACTCTACAGTAATCCAGTGGCATAGATGCATGTGTGAAAAGACCTATTGGGGCTTCTCGCCTCTTCCCATCCCTAGGGCTCATAGCAAATTGCATTGTAAAAACACAGAATGTTCTACTGATCACATGTTTTCTCAGCCCTTGTCCATCATTGCTGACTTGCAGTATCTGAGGAAGGTTGGCTGGATGAGTTTGGGGAGTGATAAACACATCATTGCATGAAGGAGGGGAGCCTGTTGTCCTTCAGGAGCCAGTGATGCACCCACTTTTGAAAAAACGACGTCCTAGATCCAGAAGTTTATAACAACTTTTGCAGGATCACTTTCTCAGCAAGGTGTTGGAGGAGGTGATGGCAAACCCACTGCAGTCTCTCTTGAAGGATAAAGATTATCTAAAGCCATTCCAGTCTGGATTCTGTCCTGGCAGAATTAGCCTGCCTTGTCCTGACAAATTAAGAGAGGGACAAAAAAGATGCGAGGCTCTTACTCTGACTCAGTCTCCCACTGGGTTTTGTAGGGACTGAGTCCTCCTGGAACAAAGCATTACAAAACTGTTGTCTCAGAATCTGACCCAGAATGGAAGAAGAGGTGTGGTGGGATTCTTAGCTGAAATGCCAAGGCGAACAGGCACTGAAATAAGCCAAGAAGCTGGTGAGAGCCAAACCACGTCTGGTTCTGTGGGACACCCAGAAGAATAGGTGGAGTTAGTTGGGGGAAGGGTTAACATTGTCAATTGCATAACGTAGCTTCATAGCTTCAGAACAAAAGGACAGACCCACTGAATAGTGTCAAATGTTCCTGCTGTCTGACCCACAAGTAATAGCAATAATCCTGAAGGTGCAGCCAATGCCTCTTGTTTGGGAACAGAAGAGGGGCATTCAGTTTGCAATCAGCTTCTTAGCATGAGCCTTATTTCCTGATAACTGGTGTTCTAACTTTGCTGGTACCTTTTGCTAATGACTTTTATCACAAAGTTCACTTTGCTGGCCAGTTCAGCATAATAAAGAGTATAGTTAGAAGCGTCTTGTCTTGACCTGAAGGAAGGAGGCAGGAGACCTCCCTCCGATAGCATTTTCATATCATTGCACGTAGTATTCTCTGGCTGGTTCTTTGGGTTAGGAATCAGAGGTACTCTTTTACAGCGGTTCAGCTCTATCTGCAGGATAAGGTCCAGAGAGCGGCATCACATGGGTTACCTGAGCCCCTGGTGGTTATGCTGTAGGGAGCCTCAAAGTACCATTTTCTGCCCAGTGCTATGGAAAATCTATATGAAGCCAGTGGTGAGGTTATTCAGAGTTGGGGCCAAGGTGTCACCAGTACATTCATGACACTCCACCCTATTTCCCCATTGCATTTCAACTGGGGAATGCTGGGCATGACCTGGACCAGTACTTAG